CTGAACTACAAAAACACTTGGACTGGCTCTGCTTGGTTTGGCTTAGTTCAAAGTTTTCAAGCCTACGCACGTAGTGCTGAAGAATACCGCAGCGACACCGTTTTATATGAATCCGAAGACAGGGACCTTTAGATCAATGCTCACATGTGTCTACACGCCTCATCAGATAGGTAGGTCTCAAGGGCCATATTCTAACAATTGCAGGACGGCCAGTTTTGGCTCGCGGCTCAGGCTCGCTTGCTATCCTGAGGTAGGCTTCAGGGTTCATGTTTCTAGCTCGAGGTTTAGGGTGCCCTTGAAAAGAACGCCGCTCATGAATCTCCAAATTGAACCCTGATCCTCTAGACTGAATAAGGCCTGAATCGACAAACCGTAGACCGTAACCATTCAACCTTACAAGGCCTGCCTACATGCTACAGAACCCTTGCAGAACCAAATCGTTCACCTTAATAGCAGTGAATGAGGAACACTTGCAAGGCACCCTGAATCTTATACAACCTTATGGAACCCATAGCATCCTATTAACCAATCAAACCTTGTCCAAAATCCGGTTTGGAACCCTGAATCACTGAACCACTAAACCGCGCAAAGACTAAAGCCCTAAACCACCAAAAAGAAGCACAACACCCCCAATAAACCCTAACACCCACCCAGAGGCTGGTTTTTTGTCAAAGAACTTTATTGAAGTTACCGTGATAGTCGATACTAAATTATAGGGTTTCCTTATCCTGGTAATCCAGTATAGGGGTCTATACTAAATTTAAAGGATCCCGTATTCTGGTCATCGAACACAAGAGTCTGTAGTAAATTAGCGGGTTCTCTTAATCCGGTAGCCTAAATTAGGGACCTATAGCAAGTTAGACTGGTTTCCGTACTCTAGTGAATGACATGAAGCCCCTTCAAAACTATATTGAACTTGGTACCCTTGCCGTACTCTTAGGTGTTTCTGTAGGCGACCAAAATCGAACAAGTATCTCCAAGTGCACCTGAGAAATGAACCTCTGGTATCGACGAAATTCCTTTAACAAAAAACCCAAACCCTGAACCCCCAACCCCCAAACAAGAAGCCAGGACTTGCCCCTACACTCTAAATCCAAACCCTAAACCCTTCAACCCTAAACCCGTGCCTAAACCCCAAAACCCTACACTCAAACCCCTAATCCCCTAAACCCCCACCCCCAAATCCCACCTGAACCCGAAACGCCACTGGCCCAAAACTCTAACACCCTAAAGCCCTAAACCCCCACTCCAAAACCCCAAAGCGCCAAACCCTAAACCCCGAAAAACCTAAGCCCTACCTGAACCCCGAAACCCAAAAAAACCCTAAACCCAAAGGCCTGGAGCCCTAGACGCACACCCCTCAACCCCCCAAAACCCAAAACCCCCCTGACCCCACTGGCCCGAAACCCTAAGGCCTGGAGGTTTGAACTTCCAGGCCCCGGTTGGGAATAGCTGGAGCTTGTAAATGCTGCCTCAGGTCTAGGGATTCTATAGGGGTCCCTTTAAGGGTTCCATAAGGGTTCTATGTAGGGTTCTATAAGGCTTCTATTTTCTATCTTCTATAAGGGTTGAAGGTTGATAGGGTTGATAGGGTTTAGGGTTTAGGAGTTTAGGGTTTAATAGGAACCCTTTAGAACAGGGTTTAGGGTTCCAACGGGGGCTCTATTCAGGGTTTCTTTGAGGGTTCGTTCAAGGAAATCCTCTAGAATTCAGGGGCTCGGGGTTTAGGGGAGTCGGGCGTTTAGCATTTAGGCCTGCAGGCTTTAGCAGTTCAGCGTTCATCAAGGGTTCGGGGTTATTTAGGGCTTAGGTTTTGCGCTTTGCGGTAAAGAGAATGTTTAGGGCTTAGGATGTCTAGGAAATTCGAAGAGCAATGCTAACGGCTTCAAGTATCCAGAAGCTCCAAAAGCTGTTGAATTGCCTGCAACCCACTCCGCAAGTCCCACAGGAACACCATGTGAGTTCAGGCATAGTCTAGGGGCTTTAATAATTACCTATACTATTTTGGGGGTTCCTGATTACGGTCATAGTATACATGATGGGCCCCAATACTCTACTCGACTTATTAAGGCCCCTATCGTAGTCCATGACCAAGGGGGTTTGGAGTCTCTGGGCGACAAGAGATCGACGAATGAGCGCAAACTGACATACCTCTCGCTACCAATATCAAACATCCCCACCAGAACCTCGCAAAATACAACGACAATACCTCAGACCTTGCGACACTACGTTAAATCGGTGGAATGTCGGGGAAGTAGGGGGTGGGTGGTGGGTCGAAACGTGTGAAACGGATAATGTCAGGGCCCTGAGTCCTGAAGAAAGAAGCAGTCATTCGTGCAACATACAGGTTTGCTTGCTTGATGGTCCTGGGCTCGTGAGCTTGGGAGTCCCAGCAAATGCGGTTCTGCAGCAAGTTGGGGGCTTCAAGCTTCTGCAGGCACCCGATAACAACACTGTTGAACAGCAAAATATACAGAAAACCCTGAGCCAAATCGAGCCAAACCCCTGAACTTTAAACCCTGCATAGCCTAAACCCTAAACCCCGCGAGAAGCCTAAACCCTAATTCTCTGAACCTTATCCCGCAGCCCCAACGCTGAAGATCCGAGCTGCACTCAGCTGAACCACCTGCTTGCGAAGCACATGGGAGTTTCCGAAAGTAGACTGTAATATGGTACCCCAAATAGTTGGATCCTTATTCTATAAGGACCCCAAAATAAGGTAACCTCCTCCCTCTATTTTTCGGAAACTCCCACATGCCGAATGCGGCTCAGGCTTTCTCAGGAGGTCCTAGTTTTGGGTTTAGGAGCTTTGGGCTTAAGGGGTTTAGGTACCTTCGGAGGTCCCTTCTTTGGTGAAGGGCCTTTTCAGGGTGTCAGAGTTTAGTGGTCCAGGCGTAAACTTGAGGTCCCTTCCTGTGTAAAAGGATGTAGAATAGTAGCCTTCTATAGGTTCTGGGCCATCATTTTAGCTATTTTTGGAGGTCTAGGAAGTGTGTGTGTGTGTGTGTGTGTGTGTAGGGTTTCAGGGTGTAGTATTTCAGGGTTTAGGGTTCTCAACCCTGAACCCTAAACCCTACACCGATTTAGGAGTTTAGGGTTTTGTGGGGGGCGGGGGGGGCTTCACGGGCTTCAAAAGATCATGCAGCCTTCACAGGGCCGCCTTGCGCAGAGTTTCGCAGGAAGGCCGGGCAAACTTGGGTACCCTAAACCCTCTCCACCCCAAACCCTCAACCCTACACCCCCGAAACCCTTCAAGCCCTTCGCACCTCGCCAACCACCGGTGCAGTCGACAAGTCTGGGAACTCACCCTCCTCCGAGGGTTTCGACACGTTTCGGGTGTTTAAGGCTTATGGTTTGGGGAATAGGAGTTTAGGGTTCAGGGTAGGGGTTTAGGGGTTAGGGTGTTAGGGGTTTTAGGGTTTGGCTGCTAGAGCTTCAGGGTTCAAGGGCTTATGAGGCTTAGGGTTTGGGGTTTTAGGGTTTACGGTTCACGGTTTAGGGGTTCTACACGTTGAAACCTCAAAAGGTTCCTTCCGAGTTCTCGAAGGTCTTTTATGTGGATTCAGGCTAGAGGCAGTAGGTCTCGGTGCAGTAGGGTTTGGCGACGGAGCTGTGGGTATGCGAACTTGGGTTACGCCTTGGCTTCAGGGTGGAATCCGGTCCTGAAATTCGCAAGCCTTTGCCTGATCCCGTATTACTGCAGAGACCAGGGCATGTTGCGCGACAACCTTCACTTGGGAGTTTCCGAAAATACAGTACCCCAAATAGTAGAGTCCTATTATAAGGACCCCAAAATAATAAGGTACCACTAATTTTCGGAAACTCCCACTTGTGCTGCGGTTTGACAGTCTGTCTGAAGACGTCGGGTGTAAGAGGTCCCTGCAAAAAGCCGGCAGGAAAGGGGTGGATATACCCAGAGTCCTGCGCCAGCTTGTGGTACAGGAGGTTTCCTGTCCGGCACATCACATTATACAAAGCAACACCATTCTGCCCATGGTCTCCGATCCTACATGCAACATTTGCAGAACCACAAACAAGAACCACAAACGAGAGCATGGGTACATCCTGGTCGGGCTATACGTCGGTCCTGAAAAAATCAAGCTTGTCATGGAAAGCCCTAATCGATGTATTTGGACCGATCTTGTCCAAGAATCCTGTACGAAGGCCATGTGCAAACTGACAATCCATTGCCGGCTCGCACTATAGCAACTGATTGAAACAGTAGCAGCACAAGAGGCCAGAGCCAGATAATCGGCATAACAACAGTTCATGTAGGTTGTATATGATACTGAGTCAGTGCACTGTATGCCAATTAGAGTCAATGTCAGCATATGCTTCACCCAAAAACAAGCATAAGACGACACACAGGAGTAGCAAGACGATGGCAGACAGCTGAAATGCGATGCGTACTATGTTGCGGCAATCCTGGGTCGCAGTGTCGGGATTAAAGCATTTCCCAAATCCCAAGACTGAGTAAAACTAGCATGCAGAATCATGGAGACTTAGGCGCACATGTAAGTGCAAGACCACGCCGATACAGTAACCGGATGATACAGCCAATGTCTACGTTTCCTGCATCGGTGCCTGAATCTCTCGGTCGAAGGCGAGCAGTAGCTGTTCAATAGCTAGCTGGCGGTGGTGGCAATGGTGTTGTGGTTGGATTCTGAGCCGGCCCTAAACCCTAAACCATCATGACTGAGGTTGGGATTCATCCTGCACCCTAGCTGTATCCACCAGGTTGTTTCAGTTTTCCGGCTACCTTGCAGGATCCCAAAAAGAAGACTGGTTACCTGGACCCCAAAAGTATGTAGAATAGTAGCCTTTTCTAGGTTTTGGACCATTATTTTGCCTACTTTTGAGGGTCTAGGTAAAGCTAATAAAGGTACGGTGGAGTCTGTAGGTAAGCCCTCATTAGCCAAACACCCTGAACCCCTTGATGCATTCTGTGCCTAACACGGTTTGGAGCGAGATCTGTGTCAAGAGCATTTCAAGCTTTCATGCTAGATAGCCACAGCCAAAATTTCCCTCAACGGCTTGGGGTTTAGGGCATGGGAATAACTACTGCTGTGGTCCAGGTGGATACCTTCTTCATCAAATTTCACAGCAAGGGCAGCTCCCCTCCTGCCAGAAAAGCACAGCAGGCCATAGCCGACGTTAGAAGGATGTTGAAAAGGAACACCCACCTCGGTGATTCTTCGAAACTGGGTTCCACCTTGGGGGGGTGGACAGCTACTTAGGCCAAATGTCCCCTGCCTAGTATATACTTAGGCCCCCTTGACTTTTGTAGGAAACCAGCCCGAGGAGGCTGCGGGTTAATGGCTGTGGGTCCGCTTTAGGGGCTTAGGTTACGATTCTGCTAAGGGTTCGTTAAGGCCTCATTTACGGGTTCCCCGAAGTGGATCTGTAAGGCTTCGGGGTTTGGGACTTAGGTTCCGGGGTTTAGGGTTTGAGGTTTAAGGGCTGGGGTCCGTGCCCGGTGTTCTGAAGGAAACCCAGGCTTTGGGTTCTGAGTATTGCAGAGGCCGGGCTTTGGGGCATATTATACTAGGACGATAGTAGGAACCCCAGAAATACTACTACCACCTATCCCGATCCCTATATTAAGGTGGGGGAGAGAGAGAGAGAGAGAGATCGACTCCTGGCAAGGAGACGGGCGCCCGCGTTGTCTCCGCCCCGAAGGGTTAAGACGCAAACGGGGCATGGGGCTCCGCAAGCGTCATGGCCACATGCGAAGCAGAGCAAACGCAGCAGCGGCAGCAGCAGGAAGACAATGCAAGAGGGGAGGGACCAAGGCAATATGCGATCCGATAGCCGTGATTGGATGATTTGTCAAGCAGAGCTTCCTCAGCACACTGTGCGGTCATTTTCCCTTTCGGAGAGTAGTGGCGCTCTAGACTGGGCAGTATCAAAGCGCCACTCAGTGTATCCAGCAACGATGCTCGGGTCGGGAGCCTGCAGCTGGTTTCAAAATCCGTATGCTTGTGAATCGGCTATAGATGCCTCATGTGTTGCATAAGTCTGCAAGATCCTGCCGCCGGACTTCGACAATCGACCGAAGACATCAGGACGACACACCGCTAGCAGCTTCAGCACAACGGTCTGGTGACGTCGGAGTTGTGTAACCATCTGAATTCCACTGAAGTGCTGTTCAAGAGTAGTGTCTGCCTGACCAGTCAGAGGCCTCGCCACCAACCATTAGGAAGGCGTTCTTTCCACCATGCCGCGGCTCACATGTGTGGGACTTCTCTGTTGCAAGCTCCAATTAGAAACTAGGAACCACTCGGCATCTACAAGGGCCCATAAAGTGCAGTAAGATGGCTTCTGTCAAAAGGGGTGCCACCGCTACTCTATACGCCTACATAAAGCGAAATGAAGTGACTGCGGGAAGCGGGCGGGTCAGCTTTCATCTCTGGCAACATGCCCAAAGCCTGGGCATCCAAGTGCCGGAGGAAACCCTAAGTCAACTGCGCCGACAGCTGTGCAAAAGATCAAGCTCATGTGTAAGGAGCACCGCAGGTTTGGTAAAAGCAGCACATGTCACATGTCTCTGTGTAGTGGCGCTTTCCCTCGTGTTGAGCCACAGAACAAGTTGTGTTGCGTCACTCTCGACCGATGTCGATGCGTCGTGGAGCCTGGATTCCATGCTCCGCATCCGACTGGTGCAGGGATTGCCAGCTTTTGAGCAAGATTTGTAACCCTTGTTGTCAGCTCCTCTTCTTCCCATTGATACCTGAGCACACAGTAGGCAATGAGCGTTTTGAGGAAAAGACTCACCGTAATCATCGCGCTCAGTACAAGACCTGCGCCTGCAGATCGTAAAGGAGCTGCAAAAGCCAGCACTTGCATGATCGCGCCAATACCCTGCAACGCATCCCTGGACCTCTCGACAGAAAAGGATGCAAGAGGGCGCATGAAAGATGCAATACTGAAGCCTTGGTCGAATGCTTCGCCCAGGTAGTTGTACGCGGTTGGGTGAATGAGCGTTTTCAACAGGTCCACCTTAGCCAGCAATCGGTGGTTGAGGCCGTCTGAAAGCAATGAGGACTCCTGCACAAGGCACTGCTCCAGCTTCTTCGTGTCTTTGAAGGCGATGAATGCTAACCCGTCGTCAATGTTACAGTCCACAAGGAGAGCGCCTCCTTTCAGAGGACTATTGGGTCGCTCTGCCAATGCCCGCGTCTGCACGACCGTTGCAGTGAATTGAGCAAGAGAATCTGCTGAAAGCAATAGCCCGTGGACGTGTGAGTCGGAGAACGGCATCCGTTTCCCATACACAAGAGACTGTGCAGATCCGTAGATGCTTTTCAAACATAATGAACCCATGTTGACTGCGCAGGCCAGTCTGTCATGGAATTCAAAGTAAGCCTCCCTGTTTTGGCCTACTGACCAAGACTCGTAGTCTGCCATGTAGGCAGCTACGGTCGCTTCGTCGATGAGATTCTGCCGCCTCATATTGCGGGTTGCTTTCGACCTGGCAGAAGATGCAGGACTGACGAGTCCTATAATCTGGAGCATCGGCCACAACGCACTGCTGTAGCTCTGGATACCAGGCTTGCTGTTGAGGTCGGCAGTGGCAGTTCTTCTGGCTTTAGATTCTACGGCAAGCTCTGACCCATCTTTGATAATCGCGCAGGGGTGGAGCTGCGTAGTGTAGAGAACTTATTGAGTTTATGGTTTGCCTGTAGGGTCATACCCTACCCTCTTTTAGGATACCTACGTGTCGAAACAGCAGATCCTAATTAAGTGTGGAACCAGGTAGGGATACGTATCGCCTTTATAGGTAAATGGTCTTGGCTTAGCAGCCTGGCGATTCAGGGACTGTGGGCAAAGGGCCATGGAGTGCAGGGTTTAGGGTATAGGGCTTAGCGTAAAATAGGGGCCTCAATAATCAGAATAGGGTTTTGGGGTATATTATACCATAATGATAAGGAGCCCCCGAAATGGCATAGGTAAGTATTGAGGCCCCCTATATCATGTTTGGGACAAGGGCTGCATCTCATCTCCAAGCCACTTGTCGAAGGAGTTCTCCATCCACAGTAGGCAAAGGTTCCTGAGGCTTCCGTAAAGAAGGAAGAAACCGCAACCTTGTTCAGGTTTTGGGTGCAAACCTGTTGTAAAACCCTAACCGCCTAAAACCTAAAGCCTAAGCGAGTGAGAGAGAGAGAGAGACACAAATGGATGTATATACACATATATATATATATGTATAGAGAGGGAGAGAGAGAGAGAGAGAGAGAGAGAGAAAGAACGACAGAGAGAAAGAGGTGTATATATATATATATATATATGTATACGTATACATATATATATATATATACACAGACACACATAGAAATGTATAGAGGGATGCAAAACGAGAGACAGAGAGAGACAGAGAGAAAGAGAGTCTATGGGAAGGATCCCCCGGCATGGACCAAGGCTCCGTTGGCTGGGATCCTGCTCCTTGTTGCACTGCCTCAGCAAGGCCAGGATTGTTTCGGTTTTAGGGCTTAGGGTTTAGGCTTTAGGATCTAGGGTTTAGGGTTTTGTTTCGGTTTTACCTGGACCCTCAAAGTATGTAGAATAATAGCCTTTTACAGGGTTTGGGCCATTACTTTACTTAATTTTGGGGGTCTAGGTAGGGCTTAGGGTTTAGGGTCTAGGGTTTACGGCGTAGGATTTAGGGTTTAGGATCTAGGGTCTGGGGTTTAAGGCTTAGGGTTTAGTGTCGGTAGGGTCTAGGCTACGGTCTAGGGTCTAGAGTCTAGGGATTATGGCTTGGGATGGTTTAGGGTTTGACCTTTTGCCTCCGCTGTGTTCAAATCACCGAACCCGGCACCAAGACCTGAACCAGAAACCCGACAAAATTCCCCTATAACATGCCCCTAACCCTAAACCCTAACCCAAAAACCTGAACTTACCCCAAACTCGAGGCCCGACGCCCCTTACTCTAAACCCCAAGCCACCCAAGACTTCATAAAGAACCCAGCAAGTCGGCGTTTAGCGTTCACCCCAAAACCTGGACCCTAAACTCTCAACTCCAACCTATCAACCCTTCGACACGACAGCACTGAACCCTCGCATTGGCAAGTTGCCCGTTCACTTCCAGGAGACGGATCTGAAAACCTCGCATACCACAGTCAGAGCAATAGTTGCTTGTCCAGTATCCCATGGGAGCTAAAGGTAAACTTTTGGAATGATGTCAGTAGTTAGCTGCAGTACCCTAAGAAGGCTAAAGGTCGCCCATCTACAAGAGTTCTATGCAAATTCCTTCTGCTTGGGCTCAGTTCGGGCGCTTCAGTTTTCTAGGGTCCTACAGCCGGACTCGGGGGCCACGTGCAAATGTTGAGTTCTGAACACCCTAACCACAGCCCCTTGCGACATGTGCAGATATAACTTGCGCTGTGTCTCTGATGTTTGCGGAACCCTAAACCCTGAACCCTTTAAGCCCTAAACCCTGAACCCTAAACCCTGAACTCTGAACCGTAAACCCTGAACCCTGAACCCTAAACCCCCAAACCCTAAAACCCTAAAACCCTAAACCCTGAGCAGAACTCAGCTTCTGACGGGCGAAGCTCCTGAAGAAGCAGCGCTGCAGTTGAGGCTTCGGTGCTCAGGGCTTCAGAGCTTCAAGTGCTCAGAACGTACCTAGAGGCTCATACCCTACCCCTTTGCTAGTATACCTATATGTTTTATGCTTAGGATCTGTTATATAGAGAAGTAGATACACTACAAAACGGGTAGGGTATGAGCCTACAGGTAGGACTTGGGAATCGGGTTGCAGAGTTCGCGATGGGGAAAACGAGCAAGGAAGAATGGTGACTCCTGATTTCCTGGTGCAAGACTTTCAAAACCCATGGTGTAGCAAATGCGCTGCACCGCATCTGGAACAATACATACTTCGAGGTTCATGGGTAGCGATAAGTATATAAGTCCCCTAATAGGAGTTGTAATTATAGTTACCCTGCCCTACTTATAACACCCCATTTATTGATTTATAACTACCCATGAACCTTCTTATAGGATACGACGAGTTCACCATGCTTGTAGAGCAGCCTTTCTACTTGGCGTGGACGCAGGGCTTGCACACAAGAGGCGTGTGGTTTGGGGAAGTGTAGGCAGTGTAGGCCTTTGGGACGGCAGGTTGTGAAAGCCTTTTGCTGGTGTGCGATGCCTGCTGTCGTGGAAGCAAGTACTTCCACGACATGTACAGAACAAGCACTCCGGAAACCCAACTTGCACACGACTCTGATGACATCGGAATCCCAAGGCAATTCCGCTATCAGGCCCTGGACAAATCTCAACAAACCGATCCTACAAAACGAGCCAGCAAGACATGGGGGGATGAAAACCGTGCGACCGAGGTGCATGACAGAAATGACGGCCAGAAAAAGATTGCAGCTGCAGTAGCAGCATGTGAGCTGCCTGTTGTGATACAGAGCTCCCATGTAGCCTGGGCCGGGGCTGAAACTTGGGGTCTGAGACTACAAGTGTCTGAGTACATATCATGTGTGGATATATGTATATGTATATATGTACATATATATATATATATGTACATACATATCTACATATATATATATATATATATACATGTGTATGTGTACATATCTCTGTATACAAGTATGTGTGTCTAGATGTATGTATATACAAAAAGACCAACTAAACATGTATAAACAATGTGTACACAACTTATAGATTGGCAGGTACTTGTCCCTTCGTTGACTGACTTACATGACAACAGGTTGTGTATTGCAGTATGAGCATCATCAACAGAAGCCTCAAAATCTGCATTAGCCGCAGCAGCAGCAGCAGGTGACAGCAGCCGCCGCGGCAGCACCATCAGACCCATCATGAGCAACAGCTTACTATCATCTTATCTCCCGCCGTTTTACTTACACCTATTAACAAATCGACGACATGTTCGCCATACTGACCGTCATTTCTGAACAGATGGTGGATTCCGGAACCATCAATCGTCACCATCTTCAACAACAGCAACAGTTGCAGCAAAGGCCTGATCCATCACCCTCAGCACCCACGTCTTGGCTCGTCGTCTTCATAACCATGGTACTGACCAGTTTGCAGAGCAGTGGTAACGATCACAAAGAAGTACGACACATCTGTGTAGCGTTCAGAACGACCGGCCTTGATGCTTCTGCCTGTTCAGTGGGGCCCGAGTTGTAGCCCAGTACGAAAATTGACACTGAGCCATCTGAGAGCTCAGGTAGTTAGAATAGGCACCCTTCAGAAGCAAGTTAGGGCTTCGATGCTCTTCGCGGAAGGACATTACGACGAAGTACTCAGACCTCCATACTATGCTGTCGGAGTGGCCGGAAACAGGAATGCTGAGCTCGATAAGCAGCGCAGACAGCTGCGACCAGATTCCCGCATTGGCATCTCCATTCTCGGGACCTTTAGGTTCTTTTTTGTTTTTTGACCTTTAGGGTTTAGGGTTGAAGGTTTAGGGTTCAGGGTATGAGGTTTAGGGTTTAGGGTTCAGGGATTAGGGCTTAGGGTTCAGAGTTCAGGGTTCAAGGTTCAGTGTTTAGGTTTGGGTTTTAAGGCTTCGCAATCTCGAAGCTCTACTAACCATCTGTTATGCAACCCGCAATGCCTTCTTTGGGTTATTGGAGCCCTCGGGACCAGGACAAACCGTTCCTTGGGTCTGGAGTTTTGGAGGCTTTGGAGGTATGCAAGTTCTAGGTTTAGACACTTTAAATTACACTCAATGTACATGATCCTCGGAGATTGAAGAGTTATGGCGTCATTTGGACGTGCAGGCTCGAGGGTGCAGGTCGCAGTACAGCCGAAGCGGTGAAACGATACCGCAACAAAGTTGGAATATGATTATCCTAACCCTTCTATGGTAAATTATAGGGTATCCTACCATGAAACCATATTCCAACTTTCTGGAGTTCCGTGTAAACCAATAGAAGTCACGAGCAGAATCCCACAACTCCCCCTACCACCCCTTAATTAAGGAATATACCTTAAAATATAGGGGCCTTAATATTATGATTTGAGGTATACTTAGACCCTCAAAAGTCGGTAAAATAATGGCCCAAAACCTATAAAAGGCTATTATTCTAAATACTTTTGGGGCCCAGGTACACTTTCGCGTTTGGAACCTATCGTCCCAACCCCCCCCCTTTTTGAAGAGCAAGGAGCTGTCGTAATTGCCCCGGAGCAGGTTGACAACGAAGTGAATCACCGAGATTGCGCATGCCGCGGCTGCGAGGAGGATGACGCGGATGGTGATCCGCTTCCTGGGCACGCTATTTACTGTAGACCCCTATTCGGGTCATTCAACTAAGTTCCTCAGCCCTTAAACCGAAAACACTAAAACTTGGAACCCCTAAAAAAAACACTTAAACCCTTATAAACCCCAATGCCCTAATACACCCTTGGAACCATCTATAACCACAAGATCTTAAGCCCTTGTAGAAGCCATACAGGAACCCTAAATTATGAAAACTTGAATCCTGACCCCGAGCCCAGCTTCGCACTCCGATCTTCCAGGGGAATTCCAAAGGAGATCCTCGGGCAGCAAAGAACCGTTTAATTAAGGTTCAGGGTTTAGGGCAAAGAGTAGATGCACGTCACTGGGGGGCAGCGGCGGCATGGATCTCAGTTCAATAATGCCATAAAATGCCATATGTGAGAGAGAGAGAGAGAGACATACACATACATATGTAATATACCGATATGTATGGTAATTGTATGTACCGACTTAGTTGGACATTTTTATGTGCGTAGCTGTATGGATGAAAACTGATTAAGCACCGCAACCCCCCCTCCGAAAATTGCCTCACTGCTATTCATGTTTTGTTGGACCAGGCCGCAGGGTGCCCTCGCTGACGGCGGCTGCAGCAACAGCAGCCGACTCTCCAGTAGAGGCACTTTCGGATGCAGTGTGTAGCATCTCCGGTGGAGGTGGCAGGCTCGTGCGATTCTCCTTTGCAGGGTTGTGGGGTTTAGGGCTTAGGGGTTTGGATTTAGAGATCTAGTATGAGCTAAACATGCAGGATTCGAGAGCTAAGATCGGGGATTTCTCTGATGGCTTCCAGGCTGGGCGGCAAAGGGCGGCAAAGTTGTGTTCAATCAACCTCCATATGGAGGGCTTGCAGCGATGCTTGATGAAGGCTTGCTATTCACTGTCATACACTCCACAATATAGAAGCTACTGCTACAGTCGCTGCTACTCCTACTCCTATCCCTACTCCTACTCCTAATTCCTAGTCCTAACTCCTAACTCCTAACTCCTGCTCCTACTACTGCTACTACTCCTCCTACGCCTCCTCCTGCTCCGCCTCCTCCTCCTCCTATTACTACTACTAGTACTACTACTCCTACTACTCCTACTACTACTGCGACTACCTACTACTACTACCACTACCACTACTACTACTACTACTACTACTACTACTACTACTACTACTACTACTACTACTACTACTACCACTACTACTACTACTACTACTACTACTACTACTACTACTACTACTACTACTACTACTACTACTACTACTACTACTACTACTACTACTGACTTCCTCGACATCGACGACGAACGCTCAATTTCAGAAGAGAACAAACAGATCCTCAAAATCTACTCTTATCGTTACGGGCACCTATATAGTATAGAACGATTAGAACAACCCCTGTAGCAACCCTTGTAGGAACCTTTTCGAACTCTTGAGGCCCGCAAGAATATAAACCCCTATGCTATATAGAACCCCTATGCTAATAAATTCATCAGAGCCGCTTCCGGTAACCTCGGGGCTTCTTCGGCAAGCTCTGGAGTGCCCTGCGGTTCAAGGGTGAAGTTGCCAAACATGATTTAGGGCTCCTTTTGCGAGTTCTTTAAAGGTTTAGGGCTTCAGGCTTTAGGGTTTAGAGTGAGGATGGGTTAGGGGTTGGGGGCTTAGGGTTCCGAGACGGTTTCGGGTTTAGGGTTTGAAGCCCGGCGGGGGCACCTGAAACACCCCGGCCGCGCGCTAATTTCCTACAAACCCGCCCCAGCACACCTGCACTAAACTCTGTTAGAAACTCTGTTAGGGTCTACCTACAATTCCTGCTTTGTGTTACCTTGTAAGATCCTGAATTTAAATATCAAACTGGCTAAACCGAACAAAAGGAACTACAATGGAGACTGAAGATAGGGTTTAGCGTTTAGGGATGTCGGGGCTTTAAGATTTTAGGGCTTCGGCTTTGGGGCCTTTAGGGGATTAGGTTCTTCTTTCTCAAATACTGACTTCTTCCCGCGCGAGGGTTCTTGAATGTCTGGGGCCGGTCGGCAGAGTCCAGGGGCCTACAGCGGTGCCGCAACAAAAGCCCCAACTCACAAACACATCTTGGGCGCCTTATAGAACAGAAGAAATCGGATACAATTCTGGAGCCCATATGCCAGCCCAAAAAACCCTATAATACTGAGACAACAAAAACGTCCTTTCTGCGTCCCTCTTGCGCTGCCTCCTGAGACGCAGGCATCGTCTGGACGCCGGTCTGTGCAGGAGATCATCGCAGATGCGGGGTCGGAATTTAGGTGCTCGGCTTTGAGATGCTTCAGGGCTTCGGGTTTTAGGGTTCAAGTTTTAGGGTTTCGGGCTTAGGGTTTATAGGGCTTAGGGGTTGGGCCACGGGCTCCACACCCAGGACGTGACAGGGACATACGCGGACTGTCTCATAAGGCAAACTGTTGTCTTGGCAACAGGTTCCTCAAAGGCCAGCTGGTGTTGAAACCTGCAATCCTTTCTCCGAAACCTGCCGTCGGAATCCTATACCCAGCAGTTTAGGGTTTATAGGGTATAGGGTTTAGGGTCGACAGTGGAGGTGTGGGAAGCTCGGGGATACTGAAGTAGCGACCGATTGCTTCAGCGCGGCGCTGCACGACAATTTTGCTTATGAGGCTATACCCGAACAAACTTTCCTAGGACTTGGGCTGCGTAGTCCTGAGCCAGAACAAACAACAGTTTAGCCTCACAAACACCTTCCGAGGGCAACGGGATAAAAGCCTTCGCAACACAAACTGGTGGAAGGTATCTTACGGATGGTTGTGTGAGATCAACTGCGATTGCTCTAAGTCTAAGCTTCCCTGAACCCTAAACCCTAAATCCTAAACCCTAAACACCCTGAACCCCAAATGTCTTGCTGTGCACCCCAAACCAGGCGAGCGGCCGAGCCATTGGCAGCAGCCGAATCGTTGCTCATATGAGCTGCTATCAGTATCGCGTTACAAGACCTCAAAGATATGGAATTTGATTGGGCGCGATGGGCAAGTAATTCCGGAGCCCTATGTCCCTCCTATTGAGCCTTCTCAGCCGTACATCCGTCACAAGCCCGACCTTCGCCACCGAGTGTTACTCTTTCGGGGATAAGCTTGCAGGAAAGCTTGCGTATTTTGGTGGTGCGGACAGGCTCGAGCTAAAAAGCGCATGCTGTCAGATAATTAGCTGGTTCTCAGGCCTTGCACAAGACTTTAACTGCCTCCATATGCTCTGAGTCTTACCTGCCTGTGTTCATGCAAAGCTTTTCGCAAGCTTGGGCCAGAAGCAAGCGAAAAGAAGTGTGACTCGTGAGTGTCACCACCAACACTGTCAGAGCAGTTGCCGTCACTGTTGCTTGTGTTTCTACTGCTGCTGGTACTACAACCACGACGACCACTGCAGCTTACTGCTACTGCTGCTGCTACGGCTACTGCTACCACCATTCTCGAGGGTGCGTTATTCATCACCACTGGCGCTCAAACGACGCGAACACTGCTGCCACTCTGCAACGGCCACTCTTGTGCAATATGCCCGTTCTGCACACTCTAAACCTTGCCAATCCCCACAAAGCTCTGCTTGGCTTCTGACCAGCGCCCACAGATACCAGGCCGGCGACATAGGGCCACCTATCGCTTTCTAGGTTCTATGGCAGGGGATCCAGTCACTTACATAGTAATGTAGGAACCTGATTGAGAAAGTTGGCCCTATAACCCAAAAATATTGGGGTTCATAACAAGGGCCCGGACCAAATGGTAGCTTAATTACTCACAAGAGTAACACAGTAACCTATCATCTTTTGTAGGAAACTGGAGCCCTGGGGACTCGCATAAGATAAATAATCAGCTGGTTGCTGTAATGAGGTCCGTCGGCGCATCACCGGCAGTATGCATTCGACGGTGGCAACGATCTCGCTGAGAAGTAGTAGCTAGAACAGATGTGGTCGAGCTCTGTGCGCAGGTGTTTGCTTGGATGACCTGCGACTGCCATAAATAATGAGAACAATTGTCGCAACGATTGCAACAATGGTCACAATGACTACAATGATAATGGTACTAATGGATCCATGGGCGCCCACGCAGGAATCCCGAAACCCGCACCCAACTGGCGCTCGTGCCATCACGAACCATCCTCAACCTGTAGCTCCAAACCCTACAGAATAGTAGGTTATGATCCCGCAGTTATAGGGTATAACCCTTTAAACGATAGGTTACTGGATCCCCAGGAATGGCTTCGGAGAGGGTGGGCTCAGAGTGACTTTGCCATGTCAAGATCAGAAGTCCCACGCTTCACGTTCCAACAGTCGTTTTGTCAATACTCTAGGGGCCTTAACAATTAGAATAGGGTTTTGGGGCCCAGTATACTTCAACTATAAAAAGGCACCCCTCCCAAACAGCGTAGGTAATTATTTAAGCCCCTATATCATAGAACCCTACTATAGATCCCTTATAATTAGACCCCTTTAAGGAACCCTTTAGCGAAATCCTCAAAAGAGTATAGGTAATTCTTAAGCCCCTAAATTAACGGGAGCCAGGAACTGAAGACTCCTACAACGCACAGAAGAAGCACTGAAGAATGAACGATAGCTTCTAATTAGTATAGTTACCAATACAAAATGCAGGAGCCCTGATAATCAGAATAGGGTTTTGGGGGCTCCTTACTATAATTGTAGTATAATATAAAGTAAACAATCCGATCCTCCAGTGCATGGAGTCGCGTTGCACCGGCAAGTAAATTCGGCAAAGCAGCTCAGTGTAAGCCGCGGAGACAATTAAGGTGTCTTGGCATAGGGTTCCGTCTAGCCCCTGTAAAATAAGAAGTCACTACATACTAGTTTTCAGCAAGAACGCAGGCCCCACTAATCTCATCTCGCATTCCCCTGTGCCGAACCCTATATTATATTAGACCCTACAAAAGAAGTATGCATATAGAAATCTCCCGAGAACCCGTAAAACTACCTT